TACATACTATCTACACTTTTGTATAGCTCATTATTTTGCACTGTTTCTTCTCTAGCCACTGGGACCTCTTTCAGCTGGCTGTGTCCTTCAGACCGACCCTCACTGATGTGAGTTTGTGTGGGATCTTTGCCTTTTAAACCCCTCCTTACTTTCTGGCACTGCAGGATGATTTAGGCTCATCTTGTGTATTCCCCATCTCTGTGCTGGAACTGGCCATTTCTCCAAGGAGCCCTGGTTCTTTTATTAGAAAGATTCACAGAAGTTAGAAAAGCCCGTGGAGGGACAGTGCCACTTGCAGCATATCAAGGGCACATACTATCAGCATGACTTAAACCCGTGGACGGTGTCCTTGAGGTTTCTGCACTGTGACGTTTCTTCCACACTGATCTCTCTAAAAGCGAGTTCCTATGCAGCCCACGATGAAGGAGCTCAACCTCCTTGGTTGAGAGGAGGACCACGTACATATGGAATTTGGAATTCTTCTGAGTGGGAAGTTGGTATATTCCCCCTTTGATGATTTATTCACACATTTGTTTATATACTTCAGTTGTATTTGTGTTTAGTGTTTATTTTATAATTTGTAATCCAATTTTGTTGATCAAGTTGTTCCATCTTTGGCCATTGAGTAGAGTCCTGTGGGCCTTTTTATATGTCCCCATCAATGTGTTTGTTTTGTGTTTTTGAATGCCTCCTTGCTTTCTGGCTCTGAAGATACCCTGGATCATCTTGTATATTTCTGCGCCAGCCCTGGAGTCAGCTGCTTCTCGAGTAGCTCTGGTTCCCTTTATTAGAGCACAGTGTTAGGAACCATGATCTGGGGCCAGGTGGGCCTGTTGCTGCTTCCAGGCCCCTCAGCGGACAGAGCAAGGGACTGTGTGTGTACTAACCAGCGTACACACGTGTCTGTCTATTGCTGTTGTTTAGTCTCTAAGCTGGGTCTGACTCCTTTGCAATTCCATGGACAGTAGCCCGCCAGGCTCCTCTGTCCATAGGATTTCCCAGCCAAGAATACTGGAATACTGGAATCCAGAATACTGGATCCTGCTTGGCAGGTGGATTCTTTACCACTGAGCCACATTGAAAGCCCCATCTGTAACCATCTCTGTAGTAAGCTGTAACCATCTATAACCCTCTCTATATGAAGCTAAACATGAGTTCATACTGATGTCTCCAGCTCTCATCCATAGCCACCGGGGTCATGCTGGTCTTCTCTTTTGCTGTCTATAAGTTCTCACTCCAGCAGTGAGAAGCCTGGCTCCCAGCAGCCACTGTCTGAAAAGAATCTATTTTATCACGGAATGCGGGGGAAGGTTCCTGTCCGCGACCTGAAGCACTTGAGTTGCCTTCTTCCTGGAAAGTCCTGGGTCTTCGTGTCCACAGTGGCCAGTGCTTCTTGTGCTGTGGGCTTAGCTCAGGACAATGTCCCGGAGGAAGCCTCAGCAGGTTCCAGACCAGATCAGAATCTCTGAAATGTACCTCGTAGCACCATCTGCTGCCTTAGAGCCCTTGTCAGCATAAGATTTAAGTAGCTTGTTTTGCAGTTGATTGTGTTACTGGTTTTTCTTTCCCGGAACATTGGCTTCATAGGCACGGACGTCATCCACCTCGCTCAGGGGCTGGCACTGGACGCATACTAGGTATGTGACTGATATTTAGTGGAAAGATACAGGAGGTGTGAAGAGATGTGAGGTGTGGTCTTCTAGACCTTCTACCCAATGGCACAAGAGAAGGGTTGAGTATATAGCATTAGGGGTGTTTCTGCTTCTAGAATTCTTAGCTCCTTTAAGTAATTAGCTTCTGCCCCTCAGAAGCTCGTGCTCCATAAATGGTTGCATATTGTAATCAAAATTATCTGGAAAAAAAAGAAAAGATCCCAGGCAATATCCAGTTATGTGAAGGACACTGTGTGGAGTGACTAGCGCTGAGCCAGGGAACTGTTAGTTGAAGGAAATGGATGGTGAATCAGATGCAACAGAGAAAACAGACATGATGCTAATTTTCAGACTTGTTCCAAAGAAAATTTATGGATGTGCTGGATCATATAAATGTAGCTTCTCTGTTGGAAAATACCAGGTGTTTATGCACAATATTGGAAAGGACCCTGGGCTCCAGGTGCACACTCTCTGCTTCTTCATCACATTTGCAGCTCTCTTTCCTGTCTGTCTTTAGTTCTAAATGTGTATGCTGCCACATTTAGGATGATTTTTTTATTGTCGATTTGGGGTGGCTTTTTCACCACTGAAATTATTAGTTTAAAAAGAAGGACATGGAATGTAAAATTCTTTATTGTATTTCTACTCCTTGAAGTTGCCTATAGCATTTCATGTTTCATAAGATCAAGGATTTTGCTCATTTCCCTTTGGAAAAAATAAATACGACTTTCACTTACCAGTAGGTCTTAAAGGAAGGTAAAGACACTTGTTTAACTTTCTGTTTCACTCTAAGGGCATTCTGATGATAACGGACATGTGATCTGAAGTGTTCCAGTCCTGCAGCTGGCTGCTAGCTGTCTCCCAGACAGGGACCAAAGCCCTGTAGCTTAAAGCTGCAGGAACAAAGTTGGCTTAAGGAAACAGGAGCTGGTTGCTGGGAAGAGTCGCCAGACGTGGAGTGCAGGGCAGTTCCTTGCCTCCCTGCTCTCCTGGAGGAGATGCAGACAAACCAACACACCCTGCCCTGGGGAGTTTGAAGGCATTTAGCCTGGAGGAGTGCGGAGACGTAGCTAACACATCTTGTGGTCCTTCAGCCATTGGGTCTGCTGGTGATCTGGGCTGGTTGCTTGTGAGTCCTGTCCATTTAACTGGGAGTCACAGCGGGAGGAGTAAGTGATAGAGTATGGCTCTGGTGTTGAAGCGGAAGAAAATGCCTTTAGGGCCAGACGCTGTGAGTCTTATTAATATGCAAAGTGCTTCCTCACTTTCTTAACATCCAGCGCTTTACTCCTCGATTTCAAACTGGAGCTCACACCAGGTACCTGGAATTGTGCCGTGACATAGCTGCTGCTTTGTGCTAAGAAAGTAGGAAAACTTTTAAATATCGGGAATTATTTTAGTTTTAGGAAAATGCTTTTAGTTTTAATAGGAACAGTCATCATTACATCCCCCTCCCCTCAGAAAAGAATGTAGCTGCCAAGGACTCCTTAAGAAGCAGCGATGGAATGAAAAGGACGCAGAACAAAGATGGGTCCCAGGGGTGGCGTGCAGATGCTCTGCAAATAGCGCTGCTATTTTCCTGTAAAATGCCTGGCACACTCTGTAATGCAATGGTCCTGCACCGCCAGGCTGTATGATGAAGGAGTCCACACTCAATCTCAGAGGCATGCATACACGGCAAAAGCATCTGGATCTTTCTGAAGTTGTAGACTACAGGCATCCCTAGGCACCCATGGGAGACTTGCTCCAGGACCCACTGTGGGTACAAATCTGAGGATGCTCAAGTGCCAACCTGGACCCTCCATATCCACAGTTTCGGCATCTGTGGGTTCAACCAACTGTGGATACGATGTGCTGCTTGTATTTAAGTGACTGACATTTTAAAATTTAGCATACTTGGAAATATAATCCTGCCACATCACCTGTGTTCAATAGTCATTGCTTCTCCTTTAGCACCCGATCCGCTGAAAAAAAATAAAACATGAACAGATGTTTGGTCTGAGCTACTCTCAGGAATTTGGAGCATGCAAACAAACCCTACATGTTCTAGCATGAAACTGGCACAGAAGTGTGAAGAGTTACTTCTTTGGTTCATCTCGTTACCCAGAACCCTAGGCCATTCTGGAATCTGTGGGCAAAATCCTTCATGTCTTTCACGGCCCCATTTGAAGTGAAAAGCCAGGCATTGAACCCATCTGGTCGTGTTTGCTAGTCCCAGAGGGAGTGTTCCCAGTTATGTGTGTTCTACTCTTTAAGGAAATTTCTCTTTTCCTGTTTCCCATCTCCTTCTATTCTTCTCCTGTCTGTCTGCCCCTTTGCCCGTGAGGTACCTCTTCACAGCACAGCTCATCCTGATTTCTTGCTACCCATGACTCACATATCCAGTATCACATGATGCTCACATCCTTATCAAGAATGTTTCGGCCTTTGCTATATGCAGGCACAGCCTATGTGTTGTCAGGAGGACACCCACCCAAGTCTGAGATGGAGTCTGCTTACCAGCTTTCTACATTTAAACATTTAGTGCTAAAGGGAAAAGCAGTTTAGGAGCTGAAACATCACAGGCATTTTAAGGAAATATCAAAAAAAGGACACAGGACTATTTTCATGCCTTGTTAGATACAAGGCCATTTTGTCCCTGTAGAAAAACATGTATTAGATTTAATTTGGTTTTTCAGTATGCTTGGCATATTTGAGATATCAAACGAAAAAATGGAAATGTTTCCACTTTCTGCAGTGTGCAAGAAGACAGGGGTCTGAAGGTGGAGTGAATTGAGAAAAGAACTGTATTTCTGTGAACTTTGAGTCTTTCCCCTTAAAGAAATCTAGGAGATAAACTGGTTGAGGGCTGTCTTTGACCAGAGCTCCATGAAGCACAAGAGCGTGTACCTGGAGAGGACGAGAGATTCCAGTCACTGGCATTGAGCATTCCTCACTAATTTGGCCAAACTGCCTTTGAAAGGCAGGCGAATTTAGGGTACATTTTTTTTTCTGTCAGTCCGGAGGGTGCCTGGTGTCTGAGCAGAACTCCTGCTGTTACTGGACGTGCAGTTCCCCGGGGGTCAGGCAGCCTCCTTATTTCTGGAGGTACCGAGTATTGTTGCAGATTCAGCTTTGAGACACGGAGACAATATCTGATGGCCACAACTTAGCTTCCAAGGAGGTGAGCGATGTTCAGACACCAACCCACTTTATATCTCAGCCCTGAGCCCCTGACTGAGTCCAGGGTGGCACACGGCAGTGAATTGAAAATCTCCACTCCATTTCGTCTGTGGCTCACTTTCCTTTCCTCCTTCCAGGGCCTTTTCCCTAAGGAACCTTCAACCACTTCTCTTTCCGCTTTTGTAGATGCGAACGACTCGCAAGGTCTCGGTCTGGCCGGTGGGCCTGGTCGGCGGGCGGCGCTACGAACGTCCGCTGGTGGAGAACGGCAAAGTCGTGGGCTGGTACACCGGCTGGAGGGCAGACAGGCCTTTCGCCATCGACATGGCAGGTGAGGCGCGAGGATGGCGGGGTTTGTTCCTGCAGGGCTGTTCCCGCCGCCTCTCCTGGGTGTAACTGCACGGGGGAAGGAAGCTTTGAAAGACTGCTTCAGTTCAACTCCATGCTGTATCACGTTCAGCCGATGAACTATTTAACTAAACCTTCAAAGCAGGCTTTGGAGGTAATTCAAGGAGAAATCGATTTTTGGGGTGACTAGAAAATGCTCATTCTACTTTGTCACCTGTCCATACAGCCATCCCTTTGTCCAGGGTGGGCTGGGGACAGGGGAGCTGGTGGGGACCACACGTGGCCCAGGGTTCACAGGTTCTGCAGCCTGCAACTCTCTCTGCTTTAAGTCCAACTGGTTATAATATATCACATGTGTGCTGGTTATAGTATAATCACATGTGTTATAATATATCACATGTATAATATATCACATGTGTACTGGTTATAGTATAATCACATGTGTTAAAATATATCACATGTGTACTGGTAAATGTAACAGGGATATGGTATAGGCAAGCCAATCATTTTGATGATTGCTGATACATTTAGTGCTTATTGATACATTTAGTAACTAAAATATAAAATTGGATGACTGGTTGTTCAAACAGGGATTAACATTAAATATAACTGTCTTTTGAAGTTCTTGAAATGAAACTGTCTTTGACATTGGTTGAAGACCAACCAACTAAATTGAATAAAACCTACAGTAGACCACAAATTCTAAAATGCTGCTTCATCACAAAGTGACTCATTTTCTAGGGGTTATATAAAATGATGCCTATGATTACTCTAGAAGGATGCAGTTTGAAATATGAGGCTTGGAGGCAAAAAAAAAAAAATCACTGACATCTATAACCTAGAAGATGAAGGCAGAGAAGCTTCAAAATTGATCTCATCCATCTTCAGGTCTGAAACAGAGCTCTGTCTGTCAGCCTGGGCTTGGTCAGCTTTTGTGTGTTATTTCCCAGCTGTAATCAGAGTCACTATGTTTGGAATTCTGATGGGATGGAGACTGTGTTCTGACTGGCTTTATCACTTTAGTTCTGACAGTACTATAAATTTGAGGGAGTAAGGCTATGAAGAGGACTAGGGATGAGAGCTGCTGGGGAGAGCCTTGTGGACGGCTGGTCCACTGCCCTGCGTCACGGGAAAAGACAAGCTAGGACATCCTAACTCAATATTTCCTGAGTGCCTCATTTGGGGACCAGGTGTCATGGCCTGTGACCCTTCCCTGATCCTCCTCTCCCAAACCCTTTCCCTGCATCCTAATCTCTCCATCACTCTTCCAATCCAAGCCTTACTCCTCATCCCCCAGTTCTTACAGCCCCAGAGCTGGGCTGGCATCTCAACCAAAGCATCTTCCCGAAGGCAGACGGAGAGGCAGGTCAGCCGTATTTGGAAGGTCTCAAGGATTCTCAAAAGAGTTGTCTCCTCAGTCCAGTCTGAGTTTGTGGCTCTGAAAGCATAACTGACTGACTATAACTTATAACGTGTCTTTTGAGAATCAAGGTTTTTTGTTTTTTCTTTTCTGTTCAGAAGTATCCCTTTGAGCAGATTTGAGTACTATTAGGGAAAAATCTTGTGCTTCTCAGGGAGTTGGTCTCCTCATGTGGAATGAGGGAGTGAGTGACTGGTGAGCTCTTCTCTAATGAATTCCTCCCTTCCCTGGCTTCCAACCTTGGAAGTCCAAAGAAAAGTCCAGGTCCCTGGATTCTAAGTGAGGGTGTGGCTGCTAACACAGCCAGCTGGCAGATAGCTGGTCCGAATTGTCCCCAGAGCCTTGCCTGAACTTCCCAGGAGCATCTCTGCCCATCACCCTGCAAGGTAACTTCAAGGTGAGAATAACATGGATACATCTTCCTGGATTTTGCTGTAAGAACTTTATGTAGATGATCAAGTATCCAGTAAACAGTAAGCCCATTGAGTGTTTTGCATTGCTTCCCCCAGAATTTGGATCCAAATAGATATATCCAAAATTCAAGAAAGGCACATGGGTTTTGTGATTTAGGCTGGATAGTGATAAGATATTTGATGTTCTTTCACTGCCAAAATCTCTGGGAAACCTTTCTCCATGACATGACTTATATTTAGATTTTTCTAAGCCCCTTATTATATTTCAAAGCATAAGAGCTATCATTAAAAAATGAATGATTTGCTTATTTTGTATTAATTATAATTATTTTAAATAGGAATAAAATTTCTGCCTCAAAGAAAACAACTTTTGAAACACTAAATTATTTTATTCATGCATGAATTTGCTGTGCAAATTAGTTTTCAGTAAATTATTGATATTTTTGGAAATCTTTACCTGACAGTGATTGGTAAGATTGATAGATAAAGATCTGACTTTGAGGCAGTTTGTTCTCATCCTAAAACGTGAAACTCCACAGCTTTGTTTAGATTCCATATAATCCATTTATTCCTAGTGGGACAAGAGTAAGATCTTTTGAATGTTCTTGTACAAATGGCACTTCCCACCCCATTTTCAAGGGACAGATACCCACAGTCACAATCTCTGGAGAGAAGGAAGCAGAAAGCCTGCTTCCCTGCTGCACCCAGGAAAGCCTGAGAAGCGTTGCTTTAAAAATGGTTGTGCTCATTGCATGGCAGGCCTGCATTGGAGCCCGGGCCTCACTTGGATTGCCACAAACTGATTAAAAATGTAACTGGCGGCTGCATGGGGACCTGGCTCCTTGGGCCAGCACCAGCCTGAAGGCCCATGGCATGTGGAGCCAGCCATGTGAGATTGTTGCCCCGCCCTCCTGCAGGCCCACAGCCCCACGAGATGAACATCCCTGTAGCCAGCCAGGCCAGGGTCCAGGCTCCCACCAGCACACACTCACAGTAGCCAGCCCAGCCACAGAAGAAGGCACGCAGCCCACAGGGGAGGCACCCCTAGAGCATATAGCTCTGGGAGAGTAGCCTGTGGGGCCCCATAGGACATCTACATGAGGCCACTTCTCCAAGATCGAGAAACGTTAACCAGCCCACCTAACACAGAAATAAACAAAACTGGGCAAAATAAGGAGACGGAACAATATGTTCTAAATCAAAGAACAGGACAACCTCAGAAAGAGAACTAAAAAAAGTGGAGATAATGAATTTATCTGATAAAGAGTTCAAGGTGGTAATTATAAACAAGTTCATCAAACTCAGAAGAATGAATGAACATGGTGAGAATTTCAAGAAAGAGCTAGAAAATACAAAGAAGAATGAAGCAGAATTTAGGAATACAGCAAATGAAATAAAAAATACACTAGAAGGAATCAACAGTAGATTAGATAATATAGAGGAACAGGTCAGTGATCTGGAAGACAGAGTAGTGGAAATCAAGCTGAACAGAAAAAAAAAACTTTAAAATGGTGGTAGTTTAAGAGACCTCTGGGACAACATCAAGTGTACTTACGTTCACATTAGAGGCTCTCGGAAGGAGAAGAGAGAGAGAAAGAGGTAGATAACTTATTTGGAGAGAAAAGTAGCTGAAAACTTTCTTAACCTGGGAAAGGATATTGACAGCCAGGTCCAGGAAGCAGAGTGTCCCAAAAGAGATGAACTCAATGAGGTCCACACCAAGACATTATAATTAAAGTGGAAATTATTAAAGAGAGACTCTTAAAAGCACCAAAAGAAAAGCAACTAGTCACATACAAGGGAACTTCCATGTGACAGTCAGCTGTCTTTTTGTCAGGAACTTTGCTGGCTAGAAGAGAGTGGCATGATATATTCAAAGTGATGAAAGGAAGAAAAAACAGGAATACTCTACCTAAGAAGACTCTGCCTAGCAAGGTTAGCATTCAGGTTTGAGGAGAAAGGATTTTAAAGGTAAGCAAAAGTTAAAGGAGCTCAGTACCACTGGGCTTCCCTTGTGGCTCAGCTGGTAAAGAATCTGCCTGCAATGTGGGAGACCTGGCTTTGATACCTGGGTTGGGAAGATCCCCTGGAGAAGGGAAAGGCTACCCACTCCAGTACTCTGGCCTGGAGAATTCCATGAACTGTATAGTCCACGGGGTCTCAAAGAGTTGGGCATCACAGAACCACTTTGACTTTCTTTCACTTTCAACCAGCTTTGCAAGATATGTTAAAGAGGCTACTTTAAACAGAAAAGACCACAACTAAAAATATGAAAATTATAGAAGGAACAAATCTCATTGGTAAAAGAAAATATATAGTAAAAGCAATAGATCAGCTGCTTAAAAAGCTAGCAGGAAGGTTAAAAGACTAAAGTATAAAATCATCTGTATCCACAATAAGAAGTAGTTAAGAAATACACAAACAAAAAGATGTAAAATAATAACACTAAATAGACTAAATGTTCCAATCAAAGAACATAGAGGAGCTGAATGGATAAAAAACAAGATCCATGTATATGCTACCTACAAGAAATTCACCTCATCTCTAAAGACACATGAAGACTGAATGTGAAGTCATGGAAAAAGGTATTCCACATAAATGGAATTGAAAATCAGGGAATAGCAATACTTACATCAGATGAAAGGGTTTAAAACAAAGAAGAAATGAGACATAAAGGAATATTATATAATGATAAAAGGATCGACCCATCAAGAAGATATAACAATTGTTAATGTATAGGCACCCATTATCAGTTCAGTTCCGTCGCTCAGTCGTGTCCGACTCTTTGCGACCCCATGAATCGCAGCACACCAGGCCTCCCTGTCCATCACAAACCCCCAGAGTTCACTCAAACTCATGTCCATCGAGTCAGTGATGCCATCCAGCCATCTCATCCTCTGTCGTCCCCTTCTCCTCCTGCCCCCAATCCCTCCCAGCATCAGGGTCTTTTCCAATGAGTCAACTCTTCACGTGAGGTGGCCAAAGTACTGGAGTTTCAGCTTCAGCATCAGTCCTTCCAATGAACACCCAGGACTGATCTCCTTTAGGATGGACTGGTTGGATCTCCTTGCAGTCCAAGGGACTCTCAAGAGTCTTCTCCAACACCACAGTTCAAAAGCATCAATTTTTTCGGTGCTCAGCTTTCTTCAC